AAGGTAGTTCTTCTGTAAGTACCTAGGTATAGATGGAAATTTTGGCGGGAGGAAATTGATGTATAGAAATGAAGGTCACCTCTCCTGTCAAAATAGACGCTAAATCTAGGTGCCATCTATTTAGAGGGGAAAGGTGACCATTATTTTTATTGATCAATTTCCTCATGGCAAAATTTCCATTTATATTTTGGCTATAGATTTGGTCTAATTACTTCGCCAGTTAAACACCTCTTTGGCAGATTGTGAAGATTTCATTTGATCCCTTGTGAATCTCATGGAATAAAGTCCACCTTGGGCTGAAGAGGACCATTAGCCCAAAACCATGGTCTCTAGGTGGATGCTTCTCAGTGTTGTGGCTGTCACCAATCTGAATCTGCTAGTTTACGGAGACTGTCAATAGAGGGTGCTTAGTTTTAACATGGTCTTCTTTCTTATCTCCACTCATATTATAAGGTATCAAGCTTGAGACTTTTGATTGTGTCTTCACCCAATCGTGATGGTTTTAACATGGTGGTGGTATCTTGTCCAAGATTTTGTTGCCTCATGGAAAGGGAGGAAGTGTCATTAGTCAGCCACATTTCAGAGTTCCCTATTCACGGTTACCGTAGCGGCTCGGGGCTCACGACACCATACTTCACCCTACAGGGCAGTCCCTTACTTGTGCTGCTTCTCTTGCCCACCACTAGTTTTAGCGTAAACAACCTATGTATTTTATTTTTTAATTCTATCCCTATTGATGGTTTATTTTAGAGTGTTTCTCCTGTAGAAGGGCTTTGGGCCCGAAATATATGGTCTTAAAAATGATAAGGCACAATTTGGATTATTCTATATACAGTTACGAGCGTCATCAATTCTTTTTCATCTCTGTCACCGTTTGCTTTTTTTTTGGAATGGCGCTCTCCTATTGGTTGGCTACGATCACGCCACCTTTGCCCCCCCCCCCCCCCCCCCCCCCCATCATGCCCCCCCCACTCGCTTTGTTGTTTTTGTAACTATTGTGTTGGAGCGGGTCGCTCCTTAAACAATCTATTGTTAACAATACCTCATTATAGGTCCGCAAATATCGAAAGTATAGGTATGTAGCTTTTGTACTATTAAGGTGTATATATATACACATACTTATGTACATATGTAAGTACTATTATCATTAGGGATATATTTAAGGCGCCAATTTATAATTGTAACAAATAGTATTTGGATCAAAACATTCAATCGGGTAAAACACGGGCGTCCCGGGTCATTCGGCTAGTAGATTACAAACATAAGGTAATAAGACCAAATCCAAATAAATAGTGTGTGATGTTTCGGTAACAGCATTACCGAATATAGCATTCAGTACTTTTGTCTGAAGATGGTAACAACACTGTTACCGAAACTTCACACACTATTTATTTATTTGGATTTGGTCTTATTACTTTGTGTTTATGGTCTTAAAAAGAAACTTAACCCTGGAAGCCTGATATCTCCAACTTGACATATAGAAGTAGTAAAAAGATACAATTTTGATATAATAGGAATGTGCCAATAAGACCAAAGACTGGAGTGAACTACAAGCTGAAGAAAAAGGTTGTGGATTGGGCAAGATGACCTCCAGCACTACCAACCTTCGGATTGGCACAGGATAATAATAGGACTGCAGGCAGCTATATGTAAATATGTTATATTCTAGAAGACAAGAAAATAAGACCTAATCCAAATAATAACAATGCTTTTGCCGAAACGTCACACACTAATAAATTATTTGGATTAGGTCTTATTTTCTTTTATTATAATCTATAATTCAAATTGTGCTTTATTATATTCTAGAAGATATTTAGTGTCCGTAAAGATAATCCACATGATCAACCAATGGGAAAAATAGAGAAGGCTTAGCTCATCATTAATGAACCTTCATCATCAACCTTTCATCAGTAAAGGTGTAAATTGACAAGAATACCTACAAATTGCCATCCATACAATAGGAAGTTTTTAATGTACAATTTGAATTATAGCTTAGAAACAAAAGGTAATAAGACCAAATTATTGAAATGTTTCTTGAAAATTTTGGTAACAGCATTGTTACTGAAACATCACAAATATTTCAATAATTTGGTCTTGTTACTTTTTGTTTTTTAATATGAAATTTTTTTAAAGCATTGAAAGCCACATTAGTGTAATTTCATAATACATAGATAGCATCCAATTCCTTGTTTAATATAGTAGAACCTAAACACAAGGTAATAAGACCAAATAAACAACAAGTTACAGCGTTATTGACCGAATCATCACACACTATTTATTTATTTGGTCTTATTACCTTGTGTTTATAATCTACTAGCCGAATGACCCGGGCAACGCCCGTGTTTTACCCGATTGAATGTTTTGATTCAAATACTATTTGTTACAATTATAAACTGGCGCCTTAAATAAATGCATATTTTAGTTAATAACTATAGCCTATGTGCTTTATCTGTCTATGTACTGTTGGCTTCCGTAGGCATCTCTTACTGGGAAAAAGAAAGAGAGGATTCCATTTAGTTATTAACTAATATATGCATTTATTTAAGGAGCGACCCGCTCCAACACAATAGTTACAAAAACGAAAAAGCGAGTGGGGGGGGGGGCAAAGGTGGCGTGAGCGTAGCCAACCAATAGGAGAGCGCCATTCAAAAAAAAAGCAAACGGTGACAGAGATGAAAACTGAAGAATTGATTAAGAACGCATGATGCTCCTAACTGTATATATAATAATCCAAATTGTGCCATATCATGGTAGAATCTCATTGTAAAGGACACCTAGTTGCAGAGCCAAAGTGTCCTTTAGAGAGAGATGTCCTCATAGTAGCTAATTGTTAAAAAATGGTAATTTTTGTCCTCTCCAGGAGGTTCTATTGTACTTAAGTAGAAAATCATTTCCTCAAAGTAACTTCCTTCATTGATTTTATTCACCAACACATGGCATCTATACTTATCATTCTTATTTTTAAAAATATTTTTTTGTCTGTAGATATTTGAAAAAAGGACTAAAGCTATTAGTAGCGCTGCGTCTTCTTCTTTCTTATCTCCATACAATCATATTAAGGTATCAAGATTGTAAAGTATAAGAGCTGTGTAAAGTTTGTAAAAGAAAAATCACAATGAATTCACATAGCTAACATTGAATGAAAAATTCTATAATGGAAATATGCTACAGTAGAACCTCCCTGTAAAGGACACCTAATTGCAGAGCCAAAGTGTCCTTTAGAGAGAGGTGTCCTCTTACCAGAGAGCTACTAAATAGTAAAAAAGGTAATTTTGCAAATGAAAACTGTCCTTTGTTGAGAGGTGTTCTCTCATGAAGGTTCTACTGTGGTAGAGCTGCAAGGTTTTAAAAGAAAAATCACAATGAATTCACATAGCTAACCTTGATGTAAAATTCTATGATGGAAATATGCCATTATGGTAGAGTTTCTGTGAATGTTTTATCAAGTTTAGTGAGAGACTACTTGTTGAATATTTCCCTACACAGCTCATTTGTAATAATTTACTGCCATGACACAAAAATAAGTTTTAAAAATTGTATATATAGGCAATTTAGAATGTAGTACAGGGGGTCGGTGGAAAGCTGGTTAAACCGTTTGGTTTTCGACCACTACGACCCGGGTTTGATTCCCGAGTTGGACACTTTTTTCTGTTAAAAAAAAAATGATCCAATGGCCCC